TACTTATCCATCCATCCATCCACCCATCACTCAACTTTATATGCTTATCTATCCATCCATCCATCTACCCACCCATCACTCTCTCTTATATGCTTGCTTATCTATCTACCCACCCATCTCTATCTTATCTATCTATCTATCTATCTATCTATCTATCTATCTATCTTTCCATCTATCTTTCCATCTACCCATCTCTCTCTATCTTATATGCTGTCTACCTACCTACATACCTACCTACCTACCTACCTATCCATCCATCTACCCATCACTCTCTCTCTATCTTATATGCCTATCTACCCACCTACTTATCCATCCATCCATCCATCCATCCACCCATCACTCTCTCTTATGTGCTTGCTTATCTATCTACCCACCCATCTCTATCTTATATGTCTATCTATCTATCTATCTATCTATCTATCTATCTATCTATCTATCTATCCATCTATCCGTCTACCCATCTCTCTCTATCTTATATGCCTGTCTACCTACCTACCTACCTATCCATCCATCTACCCATCACTCTCTCTCTCTCTTATATGCCTATCAACCCACCTACTTATCCATCCATCCACCCATCCACCCATCACTCTACCTTATATGCCTATCTATCCATCCATCCATCTACCCACCCATCACTCACTCTTATATGCTTGCCTATCTATCTATCTACCCACCCATCTCTATCTTATATGCCTATCTATCTATCCATCCATCTATCTACCTACCTACCTACCTACCTACCTATCCATCCACCTATCACTCTCTATCTTATATGCCTATCTACCCACCTACTTATCCAGCCATCCAGCCATCCACCCATCACTCTACCTTATATGCCTATCTATTCATCCATCCATCTACCCACCCATCACTCTCTCTTATATTCTTGCCTATCTATCTACCCACCCATCTCTATCTTATATGCCTAATCCATCTATATGTCTATCTAGTCTTATCTATCTATATCATCTATCCATCCATCCATCCATCCATCCATCCATCCATCTCTATATAAAGATACCTATATATAAGCCCAATAGTCCCAAAGGCCCCAGACACTGTGTGATCTTGGAAGTTAAGCAGGGCCAGCCCTGGTTAGGATATGGATGGGAGACCACCAAGGGACCCCAGGTGCCTCAGGGTCTATACCAAAATCCAAAAAATACATCTCCTCCTGAACATTTTGGATCACTTGTATAAAGAGACGAAAGAGGAAAGACGAACATGACATGGGAGGGAAGTGTAGGTAGAAAACAACTACAAACATCAAAGAAGGAGAAATGGATGAAGAATCTGTAAAAGGAAGGAAGGAAGCAAAAGAAAAAAGAAGAAAAGAAGGGATTACAAAAAGAAGGAAGGAAGGAAGGAAGGAAGGAAAGAAGGGAGGGGGAGGAGGAAGAAAAGATTCTAAAGGAAAAGAAAGGAGAAGAGATTGCAAATGGAAAGAAAGAAATTGGGAAGAAGTGATTGCAAAGAAAGGAAGGATGAAGGGATTGCAAAAGGAAAGGAAGAAGGGAGGAAGGGACCATAAAAGGAGGAAAGAAAGAAAGAAAGAAAGAAAGAAAGAAAGAAAGAGGACATTGCAAAAGAAAAGACAGAGAGAGAAGGGAGGAAGGTTTGCCAAAGAAAGAAGGATGAAGGGATTTCAAAAGGAAGGAAGGAAGGAAGGATTCCAAATGGAAAGCAAGAAATTATGAAGGAGGGATTGCAAAGGGAAAGAAAGGAATTAGGAAGGAGGTTTTGTGAAATCAGAAGAAGGAATTGCAAAAGGAAAGAGAGAAGGAAGGAAAGGAAAAGAAAGAGATTGCAAAAGGAGGAAAGGAAGAAAAGGGGGGTTGCAAAAGGAAAGAAAGGAAGAAGGGATCACAAAGGGAAAGGACAACACTGTGAAAGGAAGAAAAGAAGGAGGAGTTGCAAAAGGAAAGAGAGAAGGAAGGAAAGGAAAAGAAAGAAAGAGACTGCAAAATGAGGAAAGGAAGAAAAAGGGGGTTGCAAAAGGAAAGAAGGGAAGAAGGGATCGCAAAGGGAAAGGACAACACTGTGAAAGGAAGAAAAGAAGGAGGAGTTGCAAAAGGAAAGAGAGAAGGAAGGAAGGTTTGCAAATGAAAGGAAGGAAAAGAAAGAAAGGGTTGCAAAAAAGGGTAAAGGAAGAAAGAAGGGGTTGCGAAAGGAAAGAAAGGAAGAGGGGATTACAAAGGGAAAGAACAACATTAGGAAGGAGGGGTTGACAAAAGGAAGGAAAGAAGGAGGAGTTGCAAAAGGAAAGAGAGAAGGAAGGAAAGGAAGGGGAAGAAAGAAAAAATGGGATTGCAAAAGGAGGAAAGGAAGAAAGAATGGGTTGCGAAAGGAAAGAAAGGAAGAAGGGATCGCAAAGGGAAAGGACAACATTTGGAAGGAGGGGTTGTGAAAGGATGGAAAGGAGGAGGAATTGCAAAAGGAAAGAGAGAAGGAAGGAAGGTTTGGAAAGGATAGGAAGGAAAAGGAAAAAAACATGGCAAAAGGAGGAAAGGAAGAAAAAGGAGGTTGTGAAAGGAAAGAAAGGAAGAAGGGATCGCAAAGGGAAAGAAAGAAATTAGGAAGGAGGGTTTGTGAAAGAAACAGAAGAAGGAATTGCAGGAGGAAAGAGCGAAGGAAGGAAGGTTTGCAAAGGAAAGGAAGGAAAAGGAAGAAAAAGTGAAAAGGGAGGAAAGGAAGAAAGGGGGTTGCAAAAGGAAAGAAAGGAAGAAGGGATTACAAAGGGAAAGAACAACATTTGGAAGGAGGGGTTGACAAAAGGAAGGGAAGGAGGAAGAGTTGCTAAAGGAAAGAGAGAAGGAAGGAATGGAAGGGGAATAAAGAGAAAAAAACGGGATTGCAAAAGGATGAAAGAGGGGGTTGCAAAAGGAAAGAAAGGAAGAAGGGATCGCAAAGGGAAAGAACATTTGGAAGGAGGGTTTGTGAAAGAAAGGAAAGGCGGAGGAGTTGCAAAAGGAAAAAGAGAAGGAAGGAAGGTTTACCAAAGCAAGGAAGGAAAGAAAAGAAAGGAAAGGGGGAAAGCAAAGAGAAAAGGAGGGGAGAGGAAGGGAAGAGAGAGAAGGCAGTTGACTTTGTGCGGTGGGATGATGATTCGCATCCCCCAGTCAATGAACACTGGGGTCCCTCCCCTGCAATTAGACAGATGGTTGTTATTCACTTTTCCTGCCAATTCAAACCACAAATCCAGGCCAAATGTGTGTGTGTGGGGGGGGGGGGGGGTGGCAGAGGGTAAACATGACCTTGGCCAATAAGGCGCGGCAGCAGTTTTACCAAGCCCCACAGTCCCCTCTCCATCCCTGGACCACCACCGTCTCCATGGCAACAGCGCCAGGGGTTTCCTGCATCCCTGGAGAGGATGAAGGCAACCTGTTGGGGACCACAGAATGCAGCTTCCAGCGACATTATATAGGCCAATGTATTATTATGTTGTATTATGGCAAGGTCTTGCTCTGCCCAAGAGGCCTGGTGCCTCGCCACGCTACACCTCCCAGCACCCCATCGCATTGAGTGATGCCAAACTACATTCATTTGAGAGATGCATGACCTGAGCTGTACAAGATGATGGAATCTAGGAAATGCCTAGAGAGGGCCTATTCCATCAGTCGTGGATCAACAAAACCGATCTGTCTTTCAGGAACGCTTCAATTCCATCTCTCCGGATAGACTAGATCAGTGTTTCTCAACCTTCCTAATGCCGCAACCCCTTAATACAGTTCCTTATGTTGTGATGACCCCCAACCATAACATTATTTTCATTGCTACTTCATAACTGTAATTTTGCTACTGTTATGAATCAGAATGTAAATATCTGATATGCAGGATGTATTTTCATTCACTGGTCCAAATTTGGCACAAATACCTGATACGCCCAAATTTGAAAACCAATGGGGTTGAGGGGGGGCGGGGGGGATTGAGTTTGTCATGTGGGAGTTGTAGTTGCTAGGATTTATAGTTCACCTACAATCAAAGAGTATTCTGAACTCTACCAAGGATGGAAATGAACCAGACTTGGCACACAGAACTCCCAAGACCAATAGAAAATACTAGAATGGTCTGGTGGGCATTGACCTTGAGTTTTGGAGTTGTAGTTCACCTACACTCAGAGTGCACTGTGGGCTCAAACAATGATGGATCTGGACCAAACTTGGCATGAATACTCAATATGCCCAAATGTGAATACCAGTGGAGTTAGGGGGAAATAGATTTTGACATTTGCGAGTTACAGTTGCTGGGGTTTATAGTTCACCTACAACCAAAGAGCATTCTGAACCTCATCAATGAGAGAATTGGGCCAAACTTCCCACACAGAACCCCTATGACCAACAGAAAATACTGTGTTTTCTTTGATGACCCCTTTGACACCCTCTCGCGACCCCCCCCCAGGGGTCCTGACCCCCAGGTTAATAAACATTGGATTAAATGATCTCTTGGGGACTCTTATATAATATAATAATCCAGGGATGTGATGTGGGCTTCCTACGGGAACATCCACACCGCTTTATGGCTCAAACAGTCGCATCGACAAGGCCGCCCGCCCTCCCTGCTGACTAGCGCCTTGCCGCACTACAACTCCCATTGGTGCCCGGGGCCGGAGCTAAGGCCAAGTGGCATCGAAATGTATTGGTGCGGTGCGCACTACGTCTCCCAGGTCCTGCCACAATCTGGGGAGGAAAGATGGCATTTTTTGGGGTCAAGTCGGCCTCCTTGGCGGTCTGCTGCCTCCGGCACCTCCCTCCTTTTGGGATTGTTCACCTCAAATAGATTCAATATTCAATGTAGAGAGAGAAGGATTAAATAAGTAAGACAATTTGCCGCTGTGCCACATTTCAATGATCAGCCCTACATCCTTGGGCTTTGAATGCCTCCAGCGACATTTCCCCCATTCCCCAGCCTTTTTAATATGCCACTCAGGTTGCCGCATAGACCACAAAAATAAATAGGGAGTAGGGTCTTCCCCCCAAAGACAAAGGAAGGGGCCTTACCTCCTCCTTGAAGATGGTGTTTTGGAGGAAAGAGAGAACCCACAGCAGTCCCATAGGCAGCGATGCCACATCCTTCGCCTCCAAGCTGCCTCTGATGCTGCCAAAGAAAGAGGGAGGAGGATGGATGATGGAGGGATTGCGTCACTCAGCCAACGGAGGAGAGCAAGGACTGCGGTTGTTAAGGGAAGGGCAGGATGGAGAGGGAGGATGGCAAGGAGGTGGGGGATGCAGGATACTTGGGCTCTGGAAACAGCACTACAAGGCCCATCATCCCTGGTCATCATGGGTTATGTACTAGCCCCAGTTGTTGACCTTCATCGCTTTTTGGAAACCTATTCCTCAAGGCAGGGTCCGCATTTCCATTCATCTGCCTCCACTAGCCATTTTTATTTTTATTATTTATTTATTACTAGCCATCCCCTGCCACGCGTTGCTGTGGCCCAGTCTGGTGATCTGGATAATAAAGTAATGAGAAAGTGTTGGTTTCTAAAACATGTAATTTCTTTATGCTTGTGGGTAAACAGTATTTCTTGCTGTTTCTTTGTCAGTGTTGATGTGGAGAGTGTCTAGTTTGCCTACTCTGGAACTGGCAACATATAATTGTCCTTCTTTAGGGGTCCCTTTCAAATCTATGATACTATATCTCTGTGTGTGTGAATCATATATATCTATTTATATCTATGGCTGGATGGCTCTTTGTCAGGAGGGCTTTGATTATGTTTTCTTGCCCTGGTGAAGGGAGTTGGACTGGATGGCCTTAAATATTTTCTGTTGGTCATGGGGGTTCTGTGTGGGAAGTTTGCCCGAACTTCAGAAAGCTCTTTGATTGTAGGTGAACGACAAATCCCAGTAACTACAACTCCCAAACGTTAAGGTCTATTTCCCCCAAACTCCATCTGTGTTCACATTTGGGCATATGGAATATTTGTGCCAAGTTTGGTCCAGATCCTTCATTGTTTGAGCCCACAGTGCTCTCTGGATGTAGGTGAACTACAACTCCCAAACTCAAAGTCAGTGGCCACCAACCCTTCTAGTGTTTTCTGTTGGTCATGGGAGTCCTGTGTGCCAAGTTTGGTTCAATTCCATCATTGGTGGAGTTCAGAATGCTCTTAGATTGTAGGTGAACTATAAATCCCAGCAACTACAACTCCCAAATGAAAAACTCAATTTTTTTTGAGTGATGGTGACTCCTTGGGTTAGTAGGTGTCTTGTGGCCAAATTTGGCGGCAATTCGTCCAGTGGTTTTTGAGTTCTGTTAATCCCACAAACGAACATTACCTTTTTATTTATATAGAGTTTTAAGGTCCTCTGGCACAGATCTATGGGACTTCTAGGCCAGATGTCCCTTGTTTCAATGGGGTTTGCCTTTATTCAATAGGGTTTGTGATTATTCAATAAGGTTTGCCATTATTCAATAGGGTTTGCTATTATTCAATGGGGTTTGCCATTATCCAGTAGAGTTTGCCATTATTCAATGGGGTTTGCATTATTCAATAGGGTTTCCCATTAATCAATGGATTTTCCCATCATTCAGTGGGGTTTCCCCATATTCAGTGATGTTTACCACTATTTGATGGGGTTTGTGAATATTCAATAGGGTTTGCCATTATTCAATAGGTTTTTCTATTATTCAGTGGGGTATCCCCTTATTAAGTGGTGTTTGCCATCATTCAATGGGGTTTGCCATTATTCAAATGGGGCATGCCATTAATCAATACGATTTGCCATTATTCAATGGGGTTTGCCATTATTCAATAGGGTTTGCCCTTATTTAATGAGGTTTTCCATTATTTAGTAGGATTTGCCATCATTCAATAGGGTTTCCCCTTATTCAGTGGCGTTTGCCATTATTCAACTGGGTTTGCTCTTTTTTGAATGGAGTTTGTCATTATTCAATAGTGTTTTCTGTTATTCAATAGGATTTGCCCTTATTTAGTGGGGTTTGCCATTTTCTAATCAGGCATACCACTATTCAATAGGATTTGCTTTTCTTCAATAGAGTTTGCCATTATTCAATTTCAAAATAGGAAAATGTGTCCTCTCCTGGTGCATTCATATTGTCAAATTATTATTATTATTATTATTATTATTATTATTATTATTAGATCTTTCTATATACATAATAATAGTGAACATATGTGTGTGTGTGTGTGGTTGGGCTGTCCACTTCCACAGACAAGCTCCTGACTCCACAAACAGCTATTGCTTTCACTACTCAGGAGACAGCAATACACTCCCTCCAATGACATTGTAGGTTATAGTGAGTGCCATGAACATGTCCAAGAGCCCTGCCAATGTTTTCCACAAACACCACACTGCCCACCACCCAAATGAAGGTTTTCATTCAGGGACAATTTCATCCTGGATTTTATGTGTTTCCTCCACCACAGACATCCCAGTGTTTCTTTCTCTCTCCATTGGTGTGGAATTTGCATGACGCCACCCACCGCCTCTCCCTTAACCCTTTCCTATTCTTTTCTATGGCACACAGCAAAAAGAGGAATTGATTAGCAACTGAACATACTAGAGAGGTTTGGGGAGTATTCACCATGTTTTATAGGAGTTGTAGGTCCTGGGATGTATAGTTCACTTGCAATCTAAGAGCACTCTGAACTCCACCAACGATGGCCCTGGAACTAACTTGTCACACAGAACCCCCATAACCAACAAAACACACTGGAGGTCTTGGCGGGGGGTGATAGGAATTGTAGTTTGCCTACATCCAGAGTTCATTCTGAACCCAGACACTGATGGGTCTGGATCAAACCTGGCATGCATACCCAAGGGGCGGCTCAACCCATTATGCAAAGTAAGCATTTGCGGTATAGTTGATTTTGCCCAGGGGTGCTCTTGAGGCACTCTTGGGGGAAAATAGACCTTGACATATGCGAGTTGTAGTTACTGGGATGTATAGTTCACCTACAATCAAAGAGCATTCTGAACTCCACCAACGATGGAATTAAACCAAATATGGCACACAGAACTCCCACAATGAACAGAAAATATGTATCAGTGATTGGTTGGGGGGGGGGGCACTGTTTAAAATTACCTAGGGCCACCTCTATGCATACCCAATATGCCCAAATTTGAATACTGGTGGGTTTTGAGGGGAATTGGCCTGGACATTTTGGAGTAGTAGGTACTGAGATTTATAGTTCACCTGCAATCAATGAGCACTCTGAACTCCACCAAAGATGCTTTTGTACCAGACTTGGCACACAGAGCCCCCATAACCAGGAAAAGTACTGGAGATCTTTGGGAGAAATTCACCTTGATTTGGGGAAGTTGTCATTCACCTACATCCAGAGAGTGTGGAGTAAACCTTTGTATAAGAAACATAGAGTGACATCTGCTGGTTGAAAGAATCCCTTCTAACTTGTAGTTTTTACTCCAAATAATGGAGGTCTTTGGGGAAAATTACTTTGATTTGGGGGAGTTGTAGTTCACCTACATCCGGAGAACACTGTAAACCCAAACAACAATGGATCTGGACCAAACTTGGCAGACAGACCTGATATGTTTAAACTTGATTACTGGAGCGGTTGGGGGAAACTGACCTTCCTTTCTGAGAGTTGTAGTTCACCCACAACCAGAGAAACTGTGACCTCCACCGATGATGGACCTGAACCAAACTTGGTACACCCCCCCCCCCCATGACTAACTCAACCTACTGGAAGGGCTTGAGGGAACTGACTCACCATAGTGGGAGTTGTAGTTTACCCTACAGCAAGAGGGAACACCAAACCCCACCGATGATGCATCTAGAGCAAACTTGACCAACATGACAAACTTTAGGTATTTACGGAGTTAACATCTGGCATGATGTGAGTTGTAGTTCACCCACAACCTTATGTATTTTGTAATTTTTTAAAAAATGACTTCTTCTAATAACCCAGGCAATGCTGGGTACCCAAGCTAGTTAATAATAATAACAACAACAAATAATAATAATATATTTATTACCTGCCTCTCCCTGTGGGTTAATACAATAATGCTGTTTGACGCTGCTTTGACAGCCATGGCTCAATGCTATGCAATCTCTGGATTGTAGTTGGTCGAGCTATAAACTTCAGGCTCCCATAGCATTAAAGTGGTATCAAACTGCCTTAATTTGGCAAGTGTCGCTGCCCCTAGCACCTCTGCAATGCAATCTGGGCAAAACAAATTCTTCAAAAAGGACGCCATGGCTTCATTTGAGCTCCTTTTGGCCTATCCCTAACCTTGTTTTCTCAGATTCCTCCAAAAAGGGAGCCCCACCTTGAAAGCTGTATTTATACCAAAATATACCTTTGTAACAAAGGAACACTTCCTGGTGGTTTTGCCCTTCGTGGAACCAAAAAGGGCATTTTGACGAAAGCCTCTGGGTGCTTCCATTTCTACATCCTTAGAAACAGAAAACATACCCAAAGACACTGATCTTGGAACGACAGACTTTTCAGGTAGGACTTGGTTGCTTTGTAATGCTCCGAAATTCAAAGTTATGTTTTCCTTTTCAGGATTTGATTATTCTCTAGCCCTTTATCTACATGAACTTTATAGACATTAGAAGGCTGGATGGTCATCTCTCGGGGTTTTTTGATGTTGTCTTCCTTTCTGGCTTTTGGGATCTCATCTAAACATCTGGAGTCCTTGATTCTATAGCCCTATTTCTCCATGAACTTGTTATTTATTTATTTATCGTATCAGGAGCGAACCAAGAGTACAGTTGTGATGTATTTGAGAAAACACGAAATTTAAAAAATTGGCATTATATTAAATGACCTTTGACCAGAAGCTGGCCACTTGGAGTGCCTCTGGTGTTGCTATAAGACAGTCCTCCATTGTGCATGTGGCAGGGCTCATGCACAATGGTGGTCTGTGGTTTGTTCTTCACAGTTGCAAGCTGAAGATCAATCCCGACAAGACAGAGGTCCTCCTGGTTGATCGAAAACTGGATCAGTGT